CATGAGGCTCTTGGCTGTCCCGTCGAATTGTTTGCCCAAAAATTTCGGACTCCAAGCTCCTGGTAGTCGGAATTTGTAGTCGCTCGCATTAGCTTACAACACAGTCGGAAAAAGTCACAGTTGTCGGTGAATGATAGCTTGTTATCAAGGCCTGGGTTACCGAAGAAGGCAATACAAAGAAAGCTTCCCTCAGTAAAGTTAGTGTTAGCATTGATTCACACAATACGACATACATCTTTCTTTTGGTGATGTACAGCAGCCCAAACCAGAGAAACGATACTCAAGATTGACAACATCATTGGTACAAAGATTGATTTGCTGAGGCACAAGACCAGGAAGAGATAACCATCAGAAGCCGGATAAAAATTAAAGAGCTACTCCGAATAAAGCTCTCAAGACTGTCCACGGCATCCGGATCTACTTTTGGTGCTAACACGAGTAAATCTCCTCGTATCATAGGTTGCACTCTTTGTTGTACCAAAAGTAATCAACACTTTGTTTCGGTGTGGTTATTTTTCATCATCAGCAATCACAAGCCAGACATTTAGTGAAAATCCTTCCCACTCGGGGCTGATTTCGTCTGAATGTCACACACCACAGTCTAAATTTAGGAGCCTGAAGGACGGAGGATGAATACACTGAGGAAACGAAAGAAAGTCTTTTTCAACCATCAATGAACAGCAACCTTGAAAAAACTAGTCATCTGGCTTGATGAATAAGCATTGGTTCGATTCCCCACCTAGCATAGATAGTTATCTCTATGACCTCGTCTGTGGTTCAGTTTCATATGATAAAGAGGTGAACAGACTCCACTGTGGGAAGGAGCTGATGGTAGATCAGACTTGATGCACTTATCTTGAGGATAGTCAAATTGGTCACACTGCTCAATGCACGAAATATCACAGCTGTTCTCACTATCCATATGTGACCCCTTTTATTCACCGAACCAAAGTTGAGTTATCAATGATAACTGCATACCGATAAGATGGTGACTAAAATGAACCCAGATTAGTGACCGTCTTGTCACTGCCTGAAAAACACAGTACGAGTTTGATCATCTATTCACTGCTGTGCCTTGTTGTCCCAAAAGTCAGCTTGTTTTCGACCAATGTCAGTATATTTTTTACAGTGGTTGGAATTAGATGATTCCACATTTCATGTGTTTGTCAAGGCTCAAATTTGACCTTTAACTTCTGTCCTTGGGACGGAACCGGCCAGACTGAGGATCGATGACCGACTAAACAGGTAAACTGCTTCCTCCTATCCGTTAAATGATCCTGAAGTATTCAGCTATCACTCTTCTAAAGCTCATGTGGTACATATATGGAAAGTCTAAGCTCTTTCGAGAGTAAATAAAGTTATAATGTTTATCAAGCACCGAGTTCGCCATGCCAGATAGAGTTTGATATCAGAAAATCTCAGAAAAACTTCACGGGAATGAACACATGGTAGCGAACAAAAAGCCAAACAGACTTCATCGGATGTCATTGGATCTTTTATATCGAGTTTGTCATCATAGCTGTGGCCGAAAACTAACGATAGAAGACTAACATCTATTACATTACAAAAAAATATGAAAACTCACTCAGCTGTAACACCCTTGCGATGTCTAGCTGCTATGTCACCCAAAGGAGGCCCGAGGGCTGGGGTACTGCCAGGTTGACAGGGGAAGTCGAGAGGCAGAGGTCGGGTTCGAATTACGGACCTTCCGGTCAGCAAACTCGTGCTCTAACCGCTGAGCCATCTTGCCTGATCTCACCAATGAATATGACATGTTTACTTCCAGGGTGAGAGTTCTAAGCTCAACAAGACTTACACTCTGTCGAACTACTATCGATGCTATAATTGTGGCTTTCGAACCGACCTAGACTGCCTTTGTGTACCGTACCATACAACTGCCCTGTGCAATAAACGAGTATCCACTCTGAATCCTGCAAAGAGTAGCGTGCATACCTTTTTAGATCAGTAATGAGTGTGCATGCATTCGAGTACGTTCAGCTAAACGCGCAAAACTCCTTGAGCATAAATCATTCCCAAATTTGACGTGCATCCACACACACACACACACACGTACACACACGTCCCATTTCGCTCTACGTGATAACCAAATATCGCACGGATCAATCGCAAGCTATTTCCTAATCCTTTGCTATTTTTTAAAATAGTGTGATGTGCGTAAACAGAATTGAGCTGAAAACGCATACAATTCCTTTTTTGTAAGCCAGTTTGTGACGTAATTAACGAGAATTGTGCTGCTTGTGAAGCAACCGCCGCTACTGCTGTCAGAGCCGTCTGGCAGATGAGATTACTAACAGATTGCTTGTGTTGAATCTATGGGTAATTTAACTGAGGAAGCTTTCAAAGTTCAGCCAGATTGGGGTCAGTTTATGGAGGAAAATGGCGTGTTCAAGCTACTTATCTATGGTTGGTAAATCGAGAGTAGTCGGCAAAATGAAATTTCGAAGACAACTTCGCCAAATACTTTCATTTGTATGCGAACGTGATTTTGATGAGGGACTAAGGAGAATCCAGCCAAATCCCGTCCATTTGATAATATTCTTCAAAGACAACTGCTTGACAAGTAAATTTTGTACAAATAAGCAATTCTACTCTTTTGAGCGGGCCAATATTTTTGTGACACGACAGTGGTCTGCCTGTAGCTCAAAAAGAAGGCCGTATCGCCTCAGTCTACTGTTTTCAAACCAAAGAATATAAGAGCCCACGTTCGAATCCACGACTGTGCAGTCTTCTAGGATTTACTGTAACACTTGCAAGGTCTCCTACATTAGAACCTATGCCAAATGAGCACAATGATGAAGGGCGATCCGCATTCTAATATGTTGGATTTTACCAAGCTGAACATGCCAAACAAGTGCAGACGGTAAAAATTACTCAGTTCTCTACAAAGATGTCTTTTTACCCGAAAAGACGTAAACTTATTCCGAAACAAACTGCTTGTTTTCGCCCCTCTCCATCCAATTTTGTCATTTTTAGGTTTCCCGATACCAGACTTTCCATCGGAAAGTACCGTAACCCCCTTTGCCTCATGGATGTACGACCTCTAGTTAGTTTCATGATGAACGCCACAAATTTGCCCGAACTAGTTAGTGAATTACAACAGCTTTGGATAGGAAAACTCCCTGATGTGGATCGATTTGACTGAGCTATAAGTCAGGAAAACTTCACAATTGTTGGATGCTCGCTCTTTTGTGAGGCCGTCAAACAGAGATAAACGGCCTGTTAGTTACTACCTGATAAGAGAGACGGTTCAGTTAGACTGGCTACTTAGGCTAGCTGCAACTTATTTCAAGGGGTCCCAGAAAATTGGGCGAAACGTCGTAGATTTGAGGATTATTGCAGGCGATTTCATGTTAGTTACGTAAAGATCATGAGATACAAACAAAGCCTTTCAGGCAGCTTTTTACTACCTTTAGCGGCTTCAGTCAGTCAAAACAGTGGAAACCGTGAGACTTAGCTAATCGATTAAGACACCCATCGAATAATTGCTGCGTTTGCGTCAAGCGTGTTCCTCATGAAACAGAGTGCCCAAACGCATGATCAGAAACAAACTACGTTTTCCATGGGTGGGAATACAGTAAGATGAAAACCAAAACCTGTGTGAATTAAACAAGCAGCATTCCACCAGACTGTAGTCTCACGAAAGGAGAGACGAATAAATTCGAAGTGGTGGCAAACAGCAACTTAACTGAGATAATATTATATCGTTATTCCATTGAAATTCTTGAAAGTGGGTCTGTCTACACTGAAAACTAGATGGACACTACAGCCGTTCCATCCTTGTTGGGAAACATCTTCGGTGTGTAACTCAAGAATCTCGGGGAGGCTTCAAACTCTCTTTTCAGCACAAAAATATCCTACTTGGAGGCTGAAATTTTAACTATTCACAAGCGTAAGAAGTCTGTTAACAGAGGAGGAAACCACGCGAATCATGTGGACCTACCATATAAGGAACCACCAGTCAAGAGAATGCGCAAGGTGGAAAATTAGGATGCGGTTCAAGGTCAAGTGGCAATAAATCTGGTATAAATGAAGTAGTCCTGATCAAGAACAATGTGCAGAAAGTTGTGGAAATTCTAGCACCGGTGATTTCCGATTATCAAAAAACCCGTACAGTGTCTCCCAACATTTCAGTATCGACTACATTCCTTTACAGATCGAAATCTCAAGCGAGGACCTTTCTACCAGATGGTGAGAACAACCTCTGCGCTTGTGTACTGTTCATTATCCCCGCTCTGGTCCTGTCCTCAGAATTTCGGCATATTGGACAAAGAGTAAAGCTGAGTCTCATCGACTGAACCATCAGGGCATAGCCAGATTGTCATGGGAACGTGTGTCAGTAGGAATGCGTTAGTTGAAGGAGAAAAAGCCGCACCACAACTACAGTTAGAGTAAGTTCGTCGTGACTGACCGTTCAGGTGGTTTACTTCCGTGAGAGAACTGCGGAACAGTCAGCAAGCGCAAGCTATGGGTTTTAAGCAAGATTGATTCTTGTGCAGTAATTAACCCGTTACTTCTCTCTAACGTCTATGCTGATGACGCTTCGTACCCATCATTAAGACCAGTCATTTGAACAACATTTTCTCTCAGTTCACCACAGCAACTTAAAATGGGTACATCCAGGGTCAGTACACCTACGTCTACACAGGACGATAACTTTAGGGTTAGTCATAAATACGACCTGAGTACTGCAGCTCTGCGAGAACAACAGTTTAGCCTTAAACAGTCAAGGTCACCACCACTTTACTCTGATGCTACGAGACTGAAAACAGCCGTGATTCATCTTTGCCTTGGAATATCAACAAAAAATACAAACACCGCATGTCTGAGCACGTCAAACTGCATTCTCTGAATAGTGGCTAAAAACGGAATAAAAGTGACTAGTTTTAAGCACAAACTCCACCCCTGGGACTTCATCACTCTAACCTCATACCACCATCATATTTAGACGTAGACACAGCAAATAGTTTTGTTCAACTCACCGGCTGACTGGGTGATCCGGATAACATCATATTGTTCAGCACAAGAGAGCCGGAATAGAGTGAGCACAGAAAGAATACATTTCACAGACTTTCCAGCGGATAATTTTGTAGATCACAGTTAGTGGAGCAAATGGTAGGGTAAAGATTCCATTCTGGATGAATGTTAGATGGAACATGAATATGGAATTTTTGGTGGACACAACAGCCGACAAATGATCTTCAACGTGATATCCGATGGATGGATTGATGCGATTCAAGGGGTTTGATGGTATTCTCCGCAGGCAATCCTAGGAGGTAAGAAAGATATATTGCGTTAGTATTGCTTGATGGAAACGGAATTAGCATAACGAAGACAGTGTGCCGAACGCTGACTGAACGATCGAACAAATAACATGAACTGTGGCAGCTAAACGTTTGAATGCTGGAGTTACAATTAAAGCCACGGAGTTATACACGCATCGATTTTTAGCCAAAGCGCGATATTCTTGGACGCCACTTTGACGCCACATGCAAGGTCAAACTTACTCGGATTGCTTGTGGACAGGTACGGGTTCCACAGATCAATAACCTTTCCGATCAATAGTTCCCACTTGAAGTTTTGATTGGGCTTCCTGTGTGGTTGGTTCAATAGCTGGCAAATTAGGATCGATACGAACCTGTCAAATTCGGGCCGATTCTCGATTGCTCACGTCAAGGACCGTGAGATGACGATGATGAGGATGATTACACGACACTCGACACTGCCTATGATTGTGCGGATGAACGCGTGTGTGTGTACTTGGAGAGGGGTGTGTCCACTACGTGTCGTATGAGGTAGCAGCACAAATCCGATTACACACGAATGACAGCAGAACTAATCGGGACGCTGAAGAGCCGTCAAGCTGTCAAATGTTGTCAGAAATTTATCGCATGCCCCGAACACCCATGTGTTTTGTTCAATTTTCTGTCAAGTTGTCTAGGGGGAAACATGTGTGTGGGTGTGTACGTGCAGTAATGCTCGCTGCCTGGTGGTGTGTGTGTGGTGTGTCTTGACTGAGGAACCGCCAGTTTATTGATATAGGGGTACAAAAATCCAAAAGATCAGAACATTCACACTAGTGCAGCAATTGTAGACAGGCTGGCAGAGCGAGAGAGCCAATATCCATCACCTATACGCTTCCGCATAGTCTAGCCAGCCAGTCGCCTACCCCCCACTAGACGGCCGTCCAACCAATCACAGGAGCGATTGCTTGCGAGGCAGTCAACGGTTGGATATGCTAGCGAGCCAATGGGTTGAATGCAAAATGACATCACTTGAGCCTTTCGGATTGGCTAGATTCGAGTGATTTACTTGGGCACAAATCTGCAAGTGTGGGTCATTGCCAGTTTTCAGGCGGAAGATTTTCTCGATAACTCCATTTCTTTTCGGAGCTAGCTGTTATCGCAATGGGCTGTAATGTGTATACAATATACTGAGATGAACATTGTGCAGATAATGGTTAACAGAATCGGCGATGGTAGTTGGTTGGCGTACGATTCACGAGTGCTGAGTGAGTGGTAATCCAAATGCTGGAATAGTCCAGAAACTGTACCAGAAAGCGACCTTCAGATCCCACAGGCTGTGCCATCGCTGTCATCTAGATAAAGGCGTACTCTTTGTTGATTAATAAATGCCGTACGGATGCTCTTCATACTGAATTTCATTTACCTATTTCCTGTTGAAGTTCACTCATGTAGTTAACAAACATCTGAGCGGAAATACTGGATAGATCGAAGCGGTGGCATTTTCAATCGGGATTCTGGTGTGGCAAGGCTTTTCGCGTTGGGCCATCAACCTGTTAAAGAGGGCACTAATCGGGACGCTGAAGAGCCGTCAAGCTGTCAAATGTTGTCAGAAATTTATCGCATGCCCCGAACACCCATGTGTTTTGTTCAATTTTCTGTCAAGTTGTCTAGGGGGAAACATGTGTGTGGGTGTGTACGTGCAGTAATGCTCGCTGCCTGGTGGTGTGTGTGTGGTGTGTCTTGACTGAGGAACCGCCAGTTTATTGATATAGGGGTACAAAAATCCAAAAGATCAGAACATTCACACTAGTGCAGCAATTGTAGACAGGCTGGCAGAGCGAGAGAGCCAATATCCATCACCTATACGCTTCCGCATAGTCTAGCCAGCCAGTCGCCTACCCCCCACTAGACGGCCGTCCAACCAATCACAGCAGCGATTGCTTGCGAGGCAGTCAACGGTTGGATATGCTAGCGAGCCAATGGGTTGAATGCAAAATGACCACTTGAGCCTTTCGGATTGGCTAGATTCGAGTGATTTACTTGGGCACAAATCTGCAAGTGTGGGTCATTGCCAGTTTTCAGGCGGAAGATTTTCTCGATAACTCCATTTCTTTTCGGAGCTAGCTGTTATCGCAATGGGCTGTAATGTGTATACAATATACTGAGATGAACATTGTGCAGATAATGGTTAACAGAATCGGCGATGGTAGTTGGTTGGCGTACGATTCACGAGTGCTGAGTGAGTGGTAATCCAAATGCTGGAATAGTCCAGAAACTGTACCAGAAAGCGACCTTCAGATCCCACAGGCTGTGCCATCGCTGTCATCTAGATAAAGGCGTACTCTTTGTTGATTAATAAATGCCGTACGGATGCTCTTCATACTGAATTTCATTTACCTATTTCCTGTTGAAGTTCACTCATGTAAGTTAACAAAATCTTAGCGGAAATACTGGATAGATCGAAGCGGTGGCATTTTCAATCGGGATTCTGGTGTGGCAAGGCTTTTCGGGTTGGGCCATCAACCTGTTAAAGAGGGCTATGTCGACACTGCTGTTCACGTTATCCGTGGTTTTCGGTTGGCTCTTCACCTGACTTACTTGAGTAGAAAAAAACAAAAGCACTGATTTAGTCATGTGCACCACTAGAGACTTGACAATCTCATGGTGCTCAGTCGGGAAATGAGTTTGTCCTGATACCAAAGTAGAGGAAACCAGTAACTAATCCAGGGATGTTACCGCGACGGAATTCTGATTGTAGACCGTTAGCTGTCCTTTAGCGAACGTCACTTTCCAGGTTAGGCTTCGTTACATTCTGGTTCGAATTTAAAACAGTGAAATAAGTTAGTTTCACTCAGTTTGATTCGGTCGGAAGACAGTACTGTTCGTGCTTTGGGTGCTGGA